ATCTGTTTGACCCCAAGTAAAATTTAGCCATCAGATCAGAAGTTGGGCTGTCACTCCTGGCTAGAGTCTTATCTGAGATAGAGAATTCACAGTGAAGGTAGAGCTCTGTGACACCCCTGCTTCTTAAAAGTGTGACACAAGAAGAGCTTCCGGTAAAAATCCATACCATGTTCTGCTTCCCCCAGCATGGAGAGCAGAACAATCCAAATTAACAGTTTTCCAGGAACTATTGTGTGAGCAGTAGGTGTTTGGGGAGCCCAGCCAACCACTCTGTTCTCAGCATGTCACGTTCAGACATACTGCGCACTGCCGTGCTCACTGACGATCAGATCAAATGCCGCCTTGCGCAGGAGGCTTTGCCCCACCACTCGCTTATTCATTATTTATATACAATTAAGGGGATGGTTCAAATGAATGCAGGCATCTAACAAAAGTCATTATTCATGTACAGATCAAATTGAATACTTGTCATTTCCCTAGTGACTTAACACACTCTTTGTGCCTTAGGATCTCAAATTCTGTTAAGCAGAGTCGATGCTTTACCGCTTTCACTTAGTTTACGTGTTGGCCTTCATCCATTTGTTCAGATTATTAGGACTTGTTTAAAATTAGCCCTTCCCTCCCCTTAATATAGTAAAACAGGAAAGGAGGGAAATTTCTCTTTGGGACCTATTGCATTCTAAGGATGAATGCAAATTGTTCTACTATGATTCTTAATGACCCACTATTAACGTAGTAGGAAGCCCAGCGCATTAACGCAATACCTCTTTTCACATCATTACTCCTAATGGAACTGTTACCAGGATAATAGCTTGACCTTTAGCTATAGATTCAAACAGCAAAAGTATATTCTGCTTACTTGATACCCCTATTCACATACTATATTGAGCGTTTTCAGATCAATACAATGACAATCTTTTGGCCTTGTTGTAAGGCTTCATCTGCGCATGCAACAGAGAGAATCGGATTTTTATCTTCAGTAGATAGTCTAGTTAAAAGTCTCCTTTAAGTTTGAATGTGGTTTATGAAACTGAATGCCAATAATATGCCCAGTGGAAATATTTGTTTGTAGTACTTTTCAAAAAGCCTAATGCTGTGCCGTCAACAGTTCTCACAGACCCAGGAGAGTGATTACACAGCTGCTTTTTTATTGAAACCATATAAGTTTTAATTGAAGGAGAAACCAATAACCAGAAATTGCTGCTTTTTTAAGTGAGTGACAGAATCCTTGAACTCAAGATTCTATTAGAAAGCTCTGTTCTGAAGCAGGAGAATAGATTCTAGAGCCTTCCCTGTGGTTTGCCTAGTCTTAGTTGCTGACATGTGGTTGCTGGAAGTCATTTGATGTTGGCATAATCCAAATCTACTTTGCTAATTTAGAACCACTACTTTCTAATATGTTCTAATTTAGACACATGCATTTTACAATCTAAGAAAAGAGGGGTTGCTATGGAAATTAATTATATAAATAAAATTGCAAGAAGGGAGATGTTTACTTACGCAGAAGACAGTGTATTTTTCTGGTACACACTTTCATATAAACTAAAAGGGTGCTAAAAAAAAAAAATTCCTGTTTGTTAAAGCAGGATTTCAGGAGCCTTTTGGCAATTCTCTGGTTAGAAAATTTTATCATGTATATTGGATATAATAAAATCTTACTTATTTAAATATATCCTAATCAGTTAAGACTTCCTACTAATTTAGTAGACCCTTCTCTCCAATTAGCTTATATTTGTGAGCTGTTGTATTTGGTTCCATTAGAAACAAAATTGGAAAATGTTTATCAAACGTTTATCAAACGTTTTTTGAGTTCTTGGTACAGACTCTGATGCGGTGCCTTGAGGAAGACAAAATCAATGGAGACCCCTGAGTTTGTCTAGAAATCTAGTATATCGGAGAGTCAAAAGTGCACTTACACCAGGAACAGTGTCTCCTCTGCACATCTCCCAAGGGGAGCCTGCTCACTCACCCCTGCCCCACATACCAGAAATCCTGCAGCCTGGTGGATACTGTCCCCTTCCCTGAGCCTTGCCCTCATCACTCCAGCGCTACTACGCGCTGGGTCTGGGGTGGGACCTTCCCATTAGGGCTCTTAGCACAGCAGTACAGCATCCTCTCACGCCGGGTCCCGCTGTCACCTTAAATAACTGTACTGGGCCCTCCCTGGTGGCGCAGCGGGTTAAAGCACAGCACTGAGAATCTGAAGCCACTTCCGCATGAGTTCGATTCCCGCCTGCCGCCTGCCGCGGAGGAGACCACATGGCGAGCCAGACCTCTCCTGACCCGCCCACTGCTCCCCTCAGCAGTGTACTTTGTCGATCTGCCTGTTCTGCTCCCACTCTGTCTCTGGTGAAGCCTCTCACCGCCCCTGAGCCTCTGGCCTGTACCCCAGTTCTGTATGCACAAATAAATAAATAAATCTTTAAAAAAAAAAAATAAAAAAATAACTGTACTGTTGCTTGAAGCCCATGCTAGTCCTCTGACCTGTCAGCCTCCTGCCTTATCCCCAGGGACCTCCCCAGTGACCCGCCCTGCTGCTGGCCACACCTTAGCGCTCGCACCGAGTTGTGTGCTGCGCTGCTTGTATTTTATGCTCCAGCACTAGTCCGCCATCAGAGGCCCCGGCTTCCCGGCCCCCTCGTTGTTTCCATTTCTCCAAGTCTACTAAGCTTTAAGCTTTTCCTGACTTCACTTCCTTCCCAAATTGAGGGTGAGTGAGCAATAAAGAAAGCAAGCTGAAGGCATTCATTTCCACTGCCATCTTCAGCACTCTCTTCAAGAGCTTTATAACCCTCTCCTGCCGAAACTGTCCAGCAGAACCCTAACCCGACACCCACCACCCAGTGTCTCCCCTCGCAGCAGGAGCTGCAAGGTACCTGGAGGAAGCTGCCGGTCCCAAAGATGGTGCCACCATAGGTATGAAGCCCCCTCTCCTGCTGTCAACCTTTCCTTCTTAGTCTGCTGCGTTCCTGTTCAATTCTTCTCAGAAGCATTCCAGACCTTCCCCACACTGTGCCCCCTCACCACTGGGCTTGTTGAAGTTTGAGTGGTGGTCACTCCAACCTATAAACACATCTGTATCTTCCCCCCAGTCTTTCCCTCTTTTGATTCAGAGAAGGACAGTCTCCAAATTTCAGTCGCTTTCAGTGACACTTTACAAACCGCCCTTCCTGGCCCCTCTCACTGCCAGCCCCTCCCTCCTCTTCAGCAGCACTACACTGGCCTTTCCGAGACCATTGACTTGGTTCTCCTTTCTCTCTGGCCAGTCCTCAGCTGGCCTTAATCTTCTCCCTTCAAAAGTTAGGGTTCTGTATGCCTCTGCAGTTGGCCCAGTGCTCTATCCATCTGATGCTTTTCCTAGTCAGCATCTTTTCTCTCACTCAGATATGGGATCTATGTTTGTGGCCCTCAAGCCCCAGACCTCTCCTGATACACCTCACCCTTCCTTCACAAACTTACCCTTTCTTGTGTATTTTTCTCAAGTTACATGATTCACCAGAAATGTGTATTCCTGGTAATGTTGTGACTTCTGTTGGGTAGTTTGCAGGATCGCTTCTCCCATCCTCACTGACACTACCCCAACTCAGAGGACTGCAGTATTTTCCTGAAAGGGACCCCCTGCTTTCCTCCCTCAAATCTGTCCTTCTCAGAGCCGCTGTCTACCTTTCCATACAACCAAGAGGCTGTTTACATTTGTACATGACTTTTTTCCTTCTTTCAAATTATTTCCTTAGGCTAAATTTCTCAGGATAAGATTATCAATCCAAAACTCGAACAATTTTATGTTTCTCATTATATTTTACCATCTCATTTCCCCCGAAGAGTTTTGCCAGTTTATTCCAACAGTAATGTTTAAATGCACCAGATCGCCAGTTTTATCACTATGAAGTATTAACTTTTTAACACTTTTTTTTTTTACATTTAGTAGGTTTAAAGTGTGTTTTGCAATTCTTTGGCTTACATATTAATTGAACATTTTTCCCTAGTGTATTTTTGCAAAATGTACTTTGTCCGTTTATCCATGGAGACCTTTGAAGTTGCTCTTTTATTTGAATGAGGTCTTTATATGGTGGTAGATGTTGACCCTTTTCAGTCATGTTTTATGCAGCTAGGTTTTTTCATTCTAATGAAATGTTTACTTTTCAGTAGGAAATTTACATCTTTATTTAGTTGAACCTGTTAACATTTTCCTCTATCATGTCTTTTTAAAAGAAACCTTTGAAACATGAAAACTACCAGTATTTTAAATACCAAGAAGGCAGTGCAGTGCGACTGCATGCCAGATCCTCATCTTACAGAGAGCAAGTTGAAAAGACCGAGTTTGAAAGTGTTCAGGAATCAAGAAGCAGAAACGCCAGCAGCAGCCCCCATGAGTTCAGTCACATTCTGCAGCTTTAATCAGAAACTCTCTCTTCTCTTGTCCTGTCATGTGACTCTCCATAGTTTCTTTTGTGCTTAATAAGTAGCCCTTCCCTAGGAAACGGTACAGTTTGCAAGAGGTCGGCTCAAAGCAAATTGGAACTTTCATTAAGACACAACTACATTATATTGATTTTGAGCGCTGATCAAGTTAGTGGAAATAATAATTAGAGCATTGTCTTTTGAGGTAATTTCGCATTATGCTTTCACTTAACATCAAAGAAAATGAAATCTTCCATTTGGTGAATTTTGTCATAGGGCCAGTGGGCCCTTAGGCAGCACTTTTTCCCTGGATAAAATATATAAGCATGAAATGTGGAGGAGGTAAAAGGAGCAGCTTCCCTAAGCTCTACCTAATATTTACAGTTTCATTTTAAAGCAACAGAACTTTGTATTTGGGCAGGGCTGAGTTGAGCTCCATCATCACCAATGGAAAGGAACTTGAATCTTGAAGATCACTGCAGAATTGAGATCTTTTAGAAATATACTCTTATTCCTTCTTTGGATATAGTCCTATTTCAGACCTACTTTTTTTTTTTTAATTTGTTAAAGTGTTTAACAACATTTCACATTTTTTTCAGTCTTCACAGAAAAATACTGTACAGCTAACCATGTGGATAAGCTTCCTGGCCCGAGAGACTGGGTACAGATTCTACAGGATCAAATTAAACTGGCCAGAAGAAGGTTAAAAAGAGGCTCAGGTATGAATAAGCTGCCAAGAATATAACTACAGAAGCCCTTTATTGCATTCTGAGGTTTCGCAAAGTAAAGTTCTTAGCTCAAGGGTACGTCATCGTCTGTTGTGGAATAAGCGCTGTATAATGTGCTATGGTTTTATAGTAAAGTGAATTTTGAAAATCACCTAAGATTAAAGAGTAAAAATTATGTCAGAACATTTACTTTAATAGTATAAACAAAAATATTATTAATTATATTTGTTGCCTTTGTGTCTATATGTGAAACTTGGTCAGTCTTTTGTGTTTTACTTCTACAGCTTAATAATTTGTGTATGTATCTACCTAACTTGACAAGGACTAATTGTTGAAGGTAAAAAGTAACGGTAATCATCCTATTGGGAATCATGAATAAACATAAAGGGATTTTTGGCCAAATGTTTATATAATAACATAGAGTTTAGATATATGTAATCTGGGTATGGCAATTCTGGAGTTATTCTTTGAGGAAAAGTGAATATTAGTTGAAATGTGACTATTCAGATTTGATCATTTGAGGTCTCAGCCTCCCCAAAGTGACAGTGTCCAACGTACCAGTGGAGAATCCCTCTAAGGTCAATTTTCTGCCAGTAAGTAAGATGACTCATCTCTCAGAGGCAAAAAGCCTATTGGAGATATTATTGAAAAAAAATAGTAATGACAATACCTCCTCAATTCTTTGGACACCTGGCCTGATAAAAACCTTCCTTGTGTCTGTGGCTGGATTCTGGGAATTTGAGGGATGGACTTCAGATGTGAAGTGTACCGGCTGAGGGTTACTGGAGAACTGCGGTGCATGGGACTGCCTAACGCGTCCTTCCTGGAGCTGTCACAGAAAGTGGTAAGAATAGCCATGACCAGCCCGTGGAGGCGCACCTCAGGGAGTGCCCCAGGCACAGCCTGGGGATGCCCTTGGCTGAGGAGAAACATGCCAGGGAGCAAGTGGTTTTTCAGTGTGAAAACCCTTCAGTTCTTTTCTATAAAAGTGACGATCAGCACTATCAAAATACTCAGCTGTAGACTTTTTTAATTAAAATCTTCCCCCTTTTTTATTGATCTTTTGTTTTCTTTTGTACTTAATTGATGCTCATTTTATAAAGAGCAATAGGCTAATATTTTTTAATTGGTAAGAAAAATTGCTTAATTTTATTGTGTAGTAAGTCCTAGTAGAATCAGAAGATCTGATTTTCAAATCTCTCTACCAGCCCTGGACATGGGGGGTGGACTCATCTTTCTAATCCTCAGTGTCCCTCTCATGAACTCAACATAAAAATAAAGCCAGCCTTGGAGTCGCTAGGAGCCAGATATTGTACATATATTTCTGTATAGAGGAAGTTCGTGTTCCTCTCTGAAAATGTCTCTGCTTGTACATAGCAGTGCTTGGGGGTGCTGAGGCCATGACCCCACAGCCCTCCATAGCCCAGGTTAGGGGACCAGTCAGCCTACTATGACCTGTTGCCATCTGCTTTGCTGCTGTTCTCCTGGTATAATCTCAAGGTCTCTGATTTCAGTGCCTAAATTCTTCATTCTGATATGCCTTTCACAAATTCCTGGGACCTTGGACAAATCACTTAGCCTCTCTGAACCCTGCATTTTCCTTTTATGTAACAAGGCTAATACCTACCTCAGGGGCTTTCTCAGAGCTAAAATTAGATATGTAAGTATTACCACTAACTCAGAGCTGACTCATAATAAGCCTCAAAATATGTTCATGACCTTATCCTTCTTCCCTTTGCCAACCCAACCAAAACAAAACAATCCCATTATCCCTGTCAATTCTTTAAACCACTGTCATCTCTTTCTCCTAACACTTTTTGTCATATTTCTTCCAAAAGGGCTTGTGTTTCTGAGTGGGCTTCCCCACTCCAGTTGCCCCCAGAGCGCATCACTCTTGTCCTCTAACCTCTTTCCTCTATATTTACTCTTGCTGTAGCACTTTCACATGATCAAAATAATATCAATGTTCTGTTGACATTAACACTACGACTTGACCTCAATGATTTTTATGCTGTTAAGTTTCATCCTTCTGGAAATTCTCTTCCCTGAGGTTCTGTAATAATTGTTCTGTGTTTAACCTCCAAATTCTCTTCAGTGCCTTCACTCTCCTGAGCCTCTTTTTCCTCTCCAAATCCCCGAGTTGCTCAGTTTCTATCCTTGGAACTGTTCTTATTCTAAACCCCCATCAACTGTCCCATTACCAGTGGCTTCCCCATTGGTAGTTCAGTGAGGCCATGTCCAATCCCTGGACTTCATTGTCTATACCTCTGTCAATTAGATATGATCATGTCCTACTCCTATCAATTACTTCTAGCTTTCTGCAGTCCCCAAATAAAGTCCCTTCAACAAGTGGACTCCCCCCACCACCACCAAGGGATGCGAGGGTCTTCTCAGTCTAACCCCACCCTGTTCACCACTTCATCTCCTACCACAGGCCTCTTGCCTACTTCAGCCACCTAAAACTCCCTGTCCAGAAATACGCAATGCTCTCACACTCATGACTTCCCTCTGTCTGGAAACAATTTCTCCTGAAAGCTTCATCGATGGTGCCAGCACTTTAGTCTTCTGTTACCAGAATAGTTACACATTCTTTTCCTCCACTGACCATGGGATCCTCAGCCACAGAGCCTTCAACTTTATCCCAAGTTTCTAGAACAGCAGTTGGCACAGCATGGACATACAAGAACATTTGTTGACTGTGTCAACAGACCCATTCACAAAAGAGACAATGGTCTGTCTACAACTACAAGATCTTGTTATTTAGCTCATCAAAGATCACAAGATACTGGGAACTATTCAATCATCAGTTCCTTTCCTAAGGTTCAACTACTTTTCCCTTTCAGCCCTAAGCTTTGTCCTCAGAACAAGGCCCTAGGGATTGCTGGGCTTCTCTGTGGCCACTCACAAGGTCCTCCCAGCATGCCCCTTTCTTCTTCCTCTTCATTACTTTCACCTGATTTGGATTCAGGGTCCAGGAAAAATTTGGGGGTTAAAAAAAAAGTTTTCTTAGGTGAATGACAGGTGTTACTGAAGAACAGTGCCCAGTAGGTCTGCAGTCAGTCACCCCTTATTCACACTGGTGTCGTGTTGAGTGTCTCCTCAGTTTTATATCCCAACTTAAATTTCAATTATTAAACCTGAGCTGTGTTCCTGCAATAAGTATTAAGCTGGTCTTTATTTAAATGCCCCCCTAGCAATCTTGACAGTTTGAGTATTGTAAGAACATCCATTTTCCTAGTGATTTTCAGGGGGAAGTTGTTGAACCCAAAAACCAAAACTACTAAATATAATACTCAGATTTGAGAGAAAGCTGAAATCTGCCATAGTGAAAAGTCCTAAATTTAATAGTTAATAAGAATACTCATAAGTCCAAAGGAAAGTAAAAGAGCCATGGCCCCAAAGAATCAACCACCCAGTTTTTTCTTCTTTTGTTTCTTTTGCACCTGAGCCAGCAGCCTGAGGTGGGCTCACCAGGTCCTGTGCTTGCTCTACTTAGTATTTATAGTGTGTGTGCTGGTCCCTTCTCACTCACAGGAGCAAGCTGGAGTGAGCAGGCAATGTAAGACCTACTTGGACCTCCTTGGGAACAAGGGGAAGAACTGTATCAACGTGGACTTCTGATGTTACTAATTTAGGTACTGCAGAGACAACCTAGAAAAATGAAGAAAAGGGCTTTGTGTTATAAGAACATATGCCTCTAGCTGAGGAAAATGACTATAAAAGTTTAAGTCTAAGTTTGAAGAGTAACCTTTGAAGATAACAGATGAAAAATAGGGAGAAGACTATCGAGTCTGTATTGACTATACTGACAGTTAAGTGTCCCAGAGAAGGCTGTTCTCAGCATCTCAGAAACAGCCTTGTTGGTGGTGGGCCACATCACTAAAACAGGGTGTGTGGCTTAATTTCATGTTTCCATACACACATCTATATGTATGTATGTGTATGCACATACATACAAATATATATATTTGCCATAGTGAAAAGACCTAAATTTAATGATCAGTAAGACTCCTTATATGTATACATACTGTCAAATGCTAAGACCAGTAATTTTAAGCTGTGGCCTTAAGTCCATTCTTTGCCCCCAACCTACACACACTTACAGTGGGGCCATCCACATTCCTTTTTCTCATACCTTCAAGCAGACTGGCCAGTGAACAAATTTCTGAACTACCTCAGCCTTTGTTTTGATAACTCACATAACACACGTCACACACACACACGTCAGTTTCTACAAACAGGACTTGACTACATCCTGCTCCCTACTCTCCTGTTCCTGAGGACCCGCTGCCATGCATGGAACATGTTGCCCTCTTCTGCAATTGTATTTGACTGAGAACATCTTTACTTCCCACCACTGAGTTTAGGTTATATTCCTAGATATTTGTGATTGGCACCTTGGCACCTCACTTCTGACTTTCTGGCTGGTTCTGTTAGTGCCTGAAAAGTAGAACTTGGTTATAGGACAAAACTAATCCTGACATACAGATCAAAACCAGGCCAAAATGATGGCACATCAGCAGAAAACCTTCCAGATTGGTTTTGTCTCCCAATTTTGTTAAATAAAGTTACACTTCATTCTCCTTCAGTAGCACAAAAGTGGGACCCCAGCCACCTGCATTTCCTTCATGATGCTGATAAAAACAAACAGACCAGGATCAATAATGTTACTGGTCCTCATGCTTTCGTGGTGACTATTTTTGGTCTAAATGATAATGCAAACAGTATCTCATATATATTCCACAACTTCACCCTTATTTATCATATTTGGCTTAGTTCCTGGAATGAGGGGCAGACTTTAACTGGGCAAGCTAATCAGCTCACAAGCCCACACTGCCTCTAAAAAGAAGTGTTCCACGCATGTGAAAGGTCGTTATATGAATCCAAATAGGATTCATTTGGCACTCTCATGACATAATAAATTTTTTCTACAACTGGGATGATTCCCTTCCTGGTGTGGTTTTTATCATTTTCATTAGATTATTTCTTCAGAGCTGAAGTCGCAATTTATGTGTGCATGTGTGTGTGTGTGTGTGTTAGATCTAAAAGTAAAGCTGTCACTGCCATTAAATTTTTATTGGACCTTCTCAGTCTTTTCCAAATTTCACAACTTGACTGTCGCCAAGAAAGAAAGATTGTGAGCTTGTTGTTACAGACAAATGTTATAATTAAAGATAAGCAACATAGTCATGTTCTTTACCATACTCTGCCCTGTTATACAGCTAATACCTATTAATTTCTAGATAATAATTTATAAAATATTTGTATGTGGTTGTTTATGTTCTGTTCAATGCAAAGGCACATAATTATGTAGGACTCTTTTTATTTTAAATGAGGGTTACTGAATTATAATGGTAAGATCTACTTATACCCAGGTCTAATTTTTGTTAAAGACAAATGAAAAGCAATTATGCATGAGAAGCAGAGAAAGTTACTCAAATAAAAAATGTACTAAAACTTAAAAATTTTTAAATCTAGTCTTTAATGATGGATGCTCCAATCTGGGCACAGTCACTGACAAATGTCACCTGAGTTTCTTAACCTCTCTTACCTCTGTTTCCTCATTTGCAAAAATAGGCACATACTAACAGATCTGCCTCATAGACTTTATGGTGGAATAGATGATAAAATGCATAGGAGCTACTCAGTAAATGGAAGCACTTAGTAAATGGTGGTGGCTGTCATCACTATGTTGTTACTACTGAAGAATTGTTAAAATTCTAGGCAGGGAAAGAACTACCATGTAGTTCATCTACCTATTCAGATTCACTCAATTAGAATAAAATAATGTCTTCAAAATATAAAAAGAAACATGTTTGCTATTTTAAATATATAGAACTATTTTTTAAACACAAAAGACAAAATTTTAAATACCTACAAGGCTTTCCTCCAGAAACACTGTAAACATTTTAGTATGTCCTATATTTCATTTATAAACCTTTTTATAAAATTTTAATCTTGCCATTTATCCTTTTGACTTGAATGTTTTTATGTGTTACATATTCATTTACACCATTTTTAGTGGTTTCTACTCTTCTTCAGCCAAATGTGTCTTGAGTGTTGTGCCTCTTCACAGTGCTTTTTCTTTGTGGTAGGTTTAGCAGGTCAGCAAACAGTGGGTCTTTTACTCATGCCAGTGTGTAGCAGTCTGAGTACAAGATGTTGGATGGTGAATTAACGTGGACATCTTTGAACACCTCTAGCCATATCTGAGCTCTGATTGTGTTGAAAGCAACCACAAGAACATAGTGTTGGTTTTGCTGCCTGCCAACTCAGCATCACAACACACTGTAAATGGCTGCCCTCCCCGGCCTGGCTCATGTGCAGGCGTGCAGGCGGCAGGAAATGCCCAACAGGGTGGCTACCCCGGGACAGAGGGCACCACCAGTTACCCAGAGAGCCTTGAGGAGACATCTTGACCTCTCCACTGCATGTTGTGGAGACTGACGAACTCATCAGTTATCAGGAGACCTATGGGCACCTTCTTTTTTGTATTTAGTGAAAGTTTGCCTGTGACTAATGGGTCTGCCTCTGGAAGATTCCTAAGGAGATTAAAACATATCAGAGATGAGCAAAGGTTTGCATTTTAAATTATAGAAGTGATGGTTCTTTTGAAGGAAGGCTTATTCCTTCTGATTTTCTTTATGACTGAATTTGATGCCAGTTTAGATCGGCAGGCCCAGCATCTGAATTTCCAGTCACCAGTCACCTCCGAAGAAAAGTTCATTCTCAACAAGTCATGGAAATGGCTTTGGGGATGACAAGTAAAATTCTACTATGAAATTTACTGACCATGCCTTTGATAATCAGATTCTGGGCAGATATTTAAGCCTGTGTAAGTAAGTGAAAGGAACTGAACTGAAATCATTTGTGATTTATAGACTAAGGTTCACAGGATATAAAACATTGAATGCAGAAATAGCATCTTTAAAATATTTTATTTAAGAGTAATACTAAAATCTGTTATGTGAACCTGCTAGAGCTGAGAAAAGAACGGTAGAGACTATTGTGTATACTGGGGTTTTTAATTGTGTTACTATACTCAGTAAAATGAATGTGCTCCCTGAAACTAATGAGATTTGTGTTTTATGTTTGTGACCAGCAGAGGTGGCTGACGGTGATGAGAGACTGGACGGCATTTCTCTGCCACCAACAGGTAAAGCACAGCTAGTTATATTCTCATCACCCGCTGGAATACACAGCACATGCAAATATTTGCATTAAAAATGTTTTTAATATTAGAGATGCCATTACTTGATAAAATTGCTTCTGTAACAGGCCCAACCCTAGTAATCAGAGGTTCTCAATGCCCTGTGTTCAAATATATTTTTCACATTAAATATGAGAAGCTACACTTTTCTAATACTCCATTTCTTAAAAACTTCAGAACAAGTCCTAAGAACTTAGTATCACATTCTGCCTCTTTAAACCTTTGGACATAAAAAAATATTTCATGCAAAATATGTTTTTTAGAACCAGGATCAACAATTTTGTGATGAAATTCACATCCAGTCCATCCTTTCCCATTTCCCCTAAAAAGGTTTTGAGAGGCTGTCCGTATTGCTCTCTATATAACAGACACCCAGTAAATACTATTTTAATTGAGTGAATGAATAAACTACTGTATCCAGCATGGGTGGCTCAAAATCAACATGCCTGAGAGCCCAAGACAATCCGTGAGCCAGTGACATAGTAGTTATGCCCTTCCTAAGAGTCGCACGGCTCTTCTGATTTCCCTCATAATACCAAAAGATTCCCTCCCACAAAACCCAGAGACCCCCAAAACCCCTGTGCATGAAAAAGCTCACTCAATGAGCTTTCTCCTCTAAATTTGTGGTGGGATGTTTGAAATTCAGCAAGTAAAAATGGAGTAGCCAGTCTGGATAGACACTCCACGAGATTTTGTGTTCACTGACAGCGTTGATCCTGAGATGACAGACAAAGCAAAGCTCACAGGTGTAGGATAGACCTGTGTTAGTGAACTTCAGAGCAATAAGAAAACAACCGTGGCCGTGACCCAGGGCTTTCTCTCTCATGGAGTAGCTGCGTGACAGAAGGATGGCAAGTAAATAAGTCAAAGAAGGACCTACTTATATCAAGTTCCTACAGTGTATAGTCATTATATAAGTGAGGCTTCTCTTTGTTTGGCTGAGTTTCCACATTTATGAATTAAGAGAATTGCAATGCATGCTCTCCTTCCCATTCTTTTGTTCTCTGAATCAGGACAACTCACATAAGCCCTGGTGCACTCCCAGCAGATGCACAAAATACTACTTCTAATGCAGTTGAACATTTCAGGAGACCCTTTGGAGAAAAACCACACTGTTCTTTCTAGTTGTGCTTTCCAGGTTCCTCCCTTCATCCCCAGGGGCACCCCGAATATTTGTACTGCCCTTTCCAGCTGTCATGTGACGCTAGACTTTTGAAAATTACTATTTGAAAACCATTTTTCTTTCTTTGCAATTTCTTATTTGAAAATGGAAACTGAGAGATGTTTCCAATAAGAAAATGGAACAGGGGTTGGCAGAACAACCTCACAGAACTGAAAAGACTTTCAAGTAGTTTCAGAAGGAATGTTAGAGGTCATCTGGTCCGGGTTCTCCTTTTTATCCAGTTCTTTTGTTTTACAGGTAAAAAAGCCTGAGGCTCAGAAACATGAAATGACTTTGTCTCAAAGTCTCACAGCTGGTTGGTGGCCTGGCCAGCCCAGGCTACTGAATCCCAGCTTTTATACCACATAGCTTTCTTGTGTCTAAGCAAGCTAGTTTTCCTGTGCATGTTTCCTAAGGACCCTAAGAGTTGATGGGTATACTCATCCCTTCAGGACTCCATTTCACTGTCTGGGTCTTCACATTTAGAATGTCCACCTGACCCAACTGTCAGTGCAGTTTAAACTCAGTGTTCTTTCTCAAGTCTTGCCCAGAACGGTGAGGTTGCACTGAAGCTAGAAGCAGAACACAGCTGCAGGCCTTTTCAGTAGGTCATCAATAAGTATTTGATACAAATTAATAAACAGCATGATAAATAATATCATTTAGGAAAGGGTAAAAGATGTAGGTTGGTGCCCAACTGTGCAGTAATGAAATTAAATAACCTTGATAGACTAGAATGTCTCTTAACTGAGTCTCGGTCTGGGAGGCTTCTCTGAATGCAGCACTACTCAGCTAATGAGAAAGACCACCCAGTGAGGACCCCCGAGTCCTGCACTTGCCGTGTGGGTTTGACATTTGCCCAGCCTTCCTTATCTCATTTATCTGAGCTGGCAACAGTCCTTTAAAAAAATAGATTGAATGTCTTCATTAGCTCTGTAAGCTCCTTTTTCTCCTCCCCAGTGTGTGTTGGAGGGTAGGGAGAGCTGGAGGAGGAATGAAAATCCTTCAGTGTTTCTATGAATCAGAATTGTCCAGGTCTCCACGCTTGTTTCATTCCAGCTAAGCAGCCTTCTACTGGTCTCGTGTTAACAAAACTATATACAGACTTCATAGTGGAAAACAGATTTTCTTCAGTTCTTTTCCCTTACCACTGTCAGTAAGCCTTCTCAGCAGCAACCAGGCATCAACGCTCCTTCCTTAGGTCCTGGTGAGCAAAGCCAACCCTCAGGCAGGGGCCAGAAGAGGCCTGCACTCAGCTGCCCACTGCCTGGGGATGTATCAAGTCCTCCCTCACCAGGGAGGAAAGCACCAGGATCTGGGAGCCATTTGTGTGGGGAAGAATAAGGGCCTATAGAGAAAATAAAACTGGAAACTTGCTTTCTAAAATTTAAAAAGAAAGCTTCTGAATTTGAAGTAAGGTAGCACAGAGCTCATCAGGGCTTAAAAATTTTTTTCATACATTGGTATTGTTTTACAAACATTTTAAAATGATGAAGAAAATTGTGAGGGAAGAAAATGCAAACAATTTTAATTTTACCACCCAGGACAACCATTATTTAGTGTGTGTGTGTGTGTGTGTGTGTGTTTGCGTGTGTGTGTATCTTTTCCCTAGACTTTTCTGTATATTTATTTTATTTATTTAAATACAAGAGAGATCAAATACATAAAATTTTGTTTCCCGAGTTTTTTTTTTTTACCCTAACAAGCAGCTTCCATCTTCTAAAAGATCTTCACATAAATTATTTTAATAGCTGCATGATAGTCTGTTTTACAGGTAAATCACTTTATTGTGCAGTAATAGAAAATGGCTAAAATAAAGTGATATTTAGTAGTAAGACACATTCGTGGTCTTTCCTGTAACAAAAATCATTACAGATTTCTAATGGCAAAAATGACCTGTTCAGGACAACTAACGCCTTGTTTTAAATTAGTGATTTAACTATTAAACAGACATCTCACCAGTGATGTTCTTCCTTTGTTCAGAATACCGCCCTCTAGTTGTGTCATAGAAAAACAAACAGCAACTCTTTGGGGAAGTGGCCCCCCTTCATTTTCTTGTCTCTGTTGTAGGTCACATATTTGACACCAGGAGAGAAAACACGGAAGACACAGAGCCAGATCTCACTGCCTAGTGTTCCATGTAGTGATATCATTCTTAGCCTGCGTAACTTTTCCATTTCCATTTCCTCAAAAATCCACTTAGCATTTCAGGTTACTGCAGAGTGGGGGTGTTCTGTGATGTTTACCTGTCATGTTTGAATAGTTTCCATATACTTTTTTTATAATATGTGATAATCAAGCCTCCAGGTTGGTATATTTTTAAATCATTTTTAGAGTGACTTATGTCCCTTAAAAGCCCAATACATTTTCGGTCAGTTCACTGTCCATTAAAAAGAAGTGGTTCTCTTCTCCCTTTTAATGTTTTCATAATCTCAGTGTGAATATATGGAATTTTGAAGCATATTTATGTTAAAGTAAACTGCTTAGATGCAGTATAAAGGAGAATGGCTCTTTCTGGTTCTAAGAGAACAATTTGAAGGCCAAAATTAATTAGACCTTCACCAGATTAGAAGTTGAAACAGTTATTTGGAGAAATCAGATAGCTCTGATCTACTGGATAAAAGTATTTATGACATCATTTCCCCAAAACAGCCATTTGTAACTAAGTGCAAATGACATTATCAATTCTTAGAAAGAAAATCCTTTTCATGTAGGTTATATCAACACAATGACAAAATAACTAATTAAGGTGAGAAGCTCAAAGTAACCTGTTATATGTATGCAATCTAACAGATATTTTAACAGATGGTTTTAAATGTGAATGGTCCAGTGTTTTGGCATTTTGCGGCAACTGGCTACAAATATACTGAATTAACATCATATACTTTATTTCATCTCTACTACACTTGCCTGCCAGTTTATATAAAACTAACATAAAAATCTGGATTTATTTTAAAGAGATACCTTGCCATGTGAGCATTTGTTTTGCAGAAATACTTACCTCCAGATCCTTTTCTCTAATAAAATAGTGAATTTAATATACATTTTACTTAGATATGTTGCATTTACACTTCATTTAATGTATAAAACTAATTACCTTGATTCTTTGGCACTTGACCCAAAGACCAAAAACTGTCTTGAAAAAATCTGGACTGTAGAAACAAGCACCCTAGAGGAAAATAAGCTGTGCTGACACTCTCACACTTTTCCCTAGTAATAGTGTCAGAGCCAAAACGGTAGTAGGGTTCCTGTACCCATCCCTCATTTTGCAGGTAAGGCGGCAGGAGAGGGTGAGGCTCATGATTGCTTGGGGCCAGGTAACCCATCAGCGGCCCTGCCAAGCCTAGACCCAAATCCCTTACTACCCTGTCCAAGGTACTACGTCCTAGCCCACTGCACAGCCAAACCCGGAACCAGGAGGGAGCTCTGGAGTGAACAGCCTTCCACCAAGACCAGCTCATCACCGAAGAAAAGATGCAACATCCCTGTAATGTGACAAAGTGGCTTTAGGTGTGGATTGTGGAATCTAGCTAATAGACAGCTACATCTCATGTATGTTTGTCTTTTGTCTTTTTGAAGCTACAAGGAAGGGTCTAAGAAAATACTCCCATGGCATCCTGAATGAGCCCTGTACATTTCAGGCCAGTTCATAATCCCTTCCCTGAAACAATGCCTTTGTTCATCAAGCGGTCTAATGAAGTACTGTGAGCCAAGGCTTTTATTTTTCTGCAAAGCATTTTAAAATTTGTCTTCTGCCTCTCAGAAAGTAACATTTCTCAATGGAATTGATAAGATTAATGAATGGCCATTCTACTCTATTCAGTAGATGAATATGTTGCTAATAAAGGTAGAAACATTTACAGCTGTGGGATCTGTTAAATATGTACCCTAAACCTGCAAAGCACTTCCTTCCAAGACTGGGAAACAGCTTGGATTTTTCAATACTTGAGGAAGGGTGGGGATTATTCAACTCACAAATATGTGCAATGGATCCACAAATTGGAAATACATATCATAAAACCGCAACAGTAAAATCATATTTTATAAAATGAAATTGTATGTGTGTTTACTTACTGTGACTACTGTGCAGAATTTATTCAGAAATCCTTTTTATAGGCTTTCTTAGCAAAAAAAAATTATTCCATATCTATGGATAATGTCTGAATCTTCTGTATATATGTTTTATTAATATGTAAATATTTAGATTTTTTAAAATTACTATGTTCTTTAAAAAAAGTTCAACGCAAGTCAGTTGTGAAAATGGTGTATAACATTGTGTTGTGAGATCAATTCCCATGATGCTCTTTATGTCCGTTCTGAAAGAATACAATAAATTACTTTAACTCACTGTACCTGTTCCATGTCTGTGTGCCAATCTTTGCATATTTATGAAGAGGAGTCAATATGATTCATTCATTAATTAAAAGGTATTAATTAATACTCTGGTAATTATACACAGAAAGCTTGGGCTCCTTATGAAGTTAATTTTTTTAAAACGACGATAGACCAGCAGGATTGTTACCAGAAGGTGTCTTCAATGGTAGAAGTCATAGCCTCTTCCTGGCAGTCAGATCAATGGCTGCAGGTCCCACAGTAACACTTGAGCATTAAGTACTGATATTCTTAAAGCCTAATTTTAAATGAATTAGGTAGCTTCATAATCTTCACTTAAAAGGTTAAGCCCTGCTTCTATGGAAACAACACATCAGAAGGACAGATCAATCTTCTCTAATGCAAAGTGGCTGTCACAACATAATTACTTTACTCTCCTCTCAGAACACAGGAGGGCGCTACTCCTCACTAGGTTCCAGCCTCCAACTACTTCCCAAGGGTATTCCTGCCCCTTTGTGGAGTGACCCCCAGAGCTAATCTCAAGACCTCTTTCTAAGGCCCTCATTTTGTTGGGCCATGAGCTCTTTCCAGGGGTTGAGCGAGCAGTGATGGGTGTGGGGATATGGGGAGTATTTGATAATAAGAATGCAGCTGATTTTGGGAGAAAAGAGTGAATTGCTTGCAAAAGAGGAAAACCTAAAACTACAGCCATCCAGAGTCTTCTACATCCCTGCCCCTCTTAGAAGCTAGGAGGCCGACACCTGCTTGACCCTTTGCCACAACCCCTCCGCCAGGCTTCATGTGGTCCTGCGTGCACCATGAAATTATTGGCAAGGTGACCTAGGTCATGTATGGGAGCCAAGGCACTGATCCCCAAGCTGACAAGGACTGTGCTTTGTTTATTGCCCAGCTGACAACCCCAGAGGGCTTTGTAAACCAATGTGAAGGACCCCATTCTCCACAGCCCACTAGAGAGGGAACTGTTTACACTTTATACTGGAAGAGCTTACACACCTTCTTTTGTTAAGTCATCTCCTTCCCACAGCCCAACCTAAGTGGGTGATTGGGGGAGGGGTAGCAACTGACACTCTCAAATGTACCCTAAGTCCAGTTCAGACATTTAACTGTGTACCATTGTAGGGAGAGGTGTTAGTTTAGTACGATGGGGGTTAAGGATGAGAGAAAAGGGGAGACCGGAGATTAGGTCAGCCAGGCCTTGTGGAACTTGTCCAGAAACTGGGAACAGAGCAGCAGTCTAAAAGGTGGTGTTCAGATTCACATGATGCATTGATCCATCTGGCTGAAGGATGGGACCATTAACTAGAAAGGGACAAGCATAATGTGAGAAGTCCCATAAAAGCTATTGGTACAGGCTCTCCCTGATGGCACAGTGGGTTAAATCACAGCACTATGAAGCTGTCCACAGCCACTGCAGCAGCTTCTTGGCTAGGGAGCTGACCCACATGGCACAGCAGACCTCTCCTGTCTCAACTGCTGCTCCCCTCAGGGTGAGTTTCAGTCAGTCTGCCTGTTCTGCTCCCCTCGCTCTCTGGTAAGTCCTCTCACCGCCACACCTCTTGCTTGTACTCAGTTCTTATATGCATAAATAAATAAAACTCTTTAAAAAAAAATATTGGAACAGCCAGGGATAGATAAAGATGACTTCAAATGAGCATCCGTAAGAAAGAGAACCACCTGAGGGGAGAAATCCTGCACCCAGCAAAATATTAACAAGATGTAAATTAATGATTTTTCATAGTAAATATATATGTAACATATTTTTTTTTTTTCAATTAAAAAATCCCTTGTTAAAAATAAGGAGAGAGAACCAACTGACTAGTTTGGTGACAGATTTGTATGGAGTCAAGGAGGAAAGTGCAGCTTTATGGAGGGAGAAGACATATCAGAACTGACATGCAGGTCTCTGGGGGACCATGTGGGTGTTAGTTGTTCACTGCGCTTGGGAGCTCAGAAGTGATTTGGAGAAGGATAGCAGACATGTTTGGGTTTGGATATTACTCTATTTGCTCATTTGATAAGTGTTTGCTGTACTTCGGGTGTGCCTGGCATTTTCCAGGTGTGGGAGCTCAGAGGGAGCCAAAGTTCCTGCTGGCAGAGTTCACCCAAAGACATGTGAAGCCCTGGGGAACATCAGCATATAAGGCACTCATGTTTTCCTAAACTCAAGAAGGAAGCTTGTAGCTTTATCCCAAACTAGAGGCAACCAAGATTTAAAGCACCATTCATTCCGCATGAGTCAGGTCTCAACTAAATGACAACGGGATTTCCATCACAAGGAGCCACCACCAGAGCCACCAGCTCCATCCATCAAGCTACAGGCTCTCAGTTCCTTCACATCAAAGTTCTCTGAAATTGTCTTGCTCATTTGCATGTTTGCTTATAAAAGTTTTGGAATCTGAGCCCCATGGTGTCAGGGTTCTTCTTTGTAAGGCCATGAAGGTTTCAGGCCCTGGACCCTCCCTAATGGCACAATGGGCTAAAGCGCAGCCCTGCAAGCTAGCCACAGCCACAGTGCAGGCCCCAGTGTAAACATATCTTCATGCTGTCCTCTTGCCCAGCAAGAGTAAACTGGGGCCATAAGAGATTATAGGTGCTACACTTTCCCTCTACCTTGTCCTATGGGCTTAGGTTGTGTGGGCTTCCTTTGACCTTATATCATCATTCCATGAATAGTGGAGAAATTGTGTCAACAGATCCAACAAAGAGATGTTGGCAATATGCCATGAGAAACTGATTAATGAGTCAGAACAACACTTTGAATTTACACAAATCATCTCCTCTATTTTGTGACCTCAAAAAAAATGAAAAAGTTCACTCCTCTATATGTATATATATATATATGTACACATACACACACACACATACATACACACATATGTGTGATATATTGGTGAATTTAATTTCCATTGTGCGATCAGTGAAATTAAAAGAATACAAGAGTCATAATGAAAACCCAAAGACTAATCTGGAACTGAAACTCAGGGAGCCTAAAACCATGTAGTGTTGTAACATACTTATATTCCTATTAGACTTGCTACTTCAAGGGCCTTTTAAATCATGAAGTGGTTGTTCTTGTTTGGGTGGGTTGGGGGTGGTTGGTCCAATAATACTGATAAATTGAAGTAAATTTTAAACCCAAACTTTGAAACTAAGCTGCTTTACATAATTCCTTTAAGATGCTTTCCAAAAATGAAGCTGATGGGAGTGTGCTAAGTGGAGGGACTGGTCAAAACCCAGCTCTCTTGAATTCTAGTTGTGCAAACTCTCCACCATGATGCCATAACAGATTCAAAAGGTAAAGGGCCCTCAATGTGAATATGGAGTGAAAATCAATTTCTACAAAGGAAATTGAGGATCCTAAATTGGTTCAATGAAGTGGTGGGCCAATTGCATATTTCTGTTTGAAAAACTACTTTCTGCTCTACCCTAGTCATGGAAGGAAGAAGAGAATGCACTGGGTAGATGGCACTCACTCTGTATGTTCCTTAATTAAACATCCACTAAAAATGTTACTTTCCAACCTCCAGATAGGAACATCAAAAGTGACCTCGTCAACCCCACGCCCTAGCCCCCTCTTGTGACCAACACTGCAGCATAACACTGTCCTTAAAAGGAGTATTTCACTGGGCCAAAGCAATGCCACCTCCCCCTGCTCCTACCACTACTGACATGCCCTCTCACACGGACCTATAACTCTGGGCAGCTTTGACTCTTCACATATTGTTTGCTTCTGTGGTTTGCGTGTAACTGTTCAAGTGTTTGTCCAACCCACCTTCATTACTAGCAGTTTCCTCAAGGCAATAACCACAGTTGGTCTCTCTTTGTTCCAGTGGAACTGGCTCACCAGTCATGGGGCAGTGGGCGGAGTGGACACTAGTTGCTGACCATTACAAAAAGGAGCTGAGGTGTTCCTTGACTAGATTAGCATTATAACTTACACTTTAGACACTGAACAAACTCTCAGAGACCAAGAAAGGGCTTTTGATTGGAAAATACTCAATGATATTGGAAATGGGAAGAAGGAGGTAGGTGTCTGTAGAACACCTGCACTTATTAGTTCAGATTAATTTGGAAGACTGAATGTAGTGGGGGTGGGGAGTCAAGAAATAATTTTAAAATTGAGAGGAAAACAATGTGAGAAGCTCAATCTCCTCCCACGTATTCCCCCACTGAAATAGTTCATAAAACTATACAAGTTGAAGAATAAACAATATCTGGGTCAGGCGATGATTTCTTAGATGTGATACCCAAAGCACATTCGATAAAAGGAAAATAGATAAGTGGACATTATAAATTTTAAAAATTTGTATGTCAAAGGATACAAGCAAAAGACAACTCAAAAAGGGAAAACAAAATTGCAAATCATGTATCTCATTAAGATATACAAAAAAAATAAGATATGTAAAGAACTTTTACAACAATAGAAAAGACAATAAAACCAACTTTAAAATATTGGCAAGATATTTGAACAGATTTTTCGCCAAAGAAGATCTATAAATGGTCAAGAGGCCAATAAGCATATCAAGAGCGACGGCATCATTAGTCATGAGGGCACCTCAAAACCAAAAGATGTTATCATAATAAAATGACACAGGACAATGTTGGTGAGAATGAGATAAGTTGGAACACACATAGATTGCTGGTGGGAATGCTACAGGCTTTTTGAAAAACAGATTGGCAATGCCTCAAAATGTTGAAGAGTTGGGACCCTCCCTGGTGGCACAGCAGGTTGAGGCACAACACTGGGAAGCTGAAGCCACTGCAGCATGAGTTCACTCCCTGCCTATCCCGGAGGTGACCACATGGTGCGCCAGACCTCTCCTGACACCCCCACCACCACCACAAGCTCCCCTTAGCAGTGTACTTGTCAATCTGCCTGTTCCTCTCCCTACTCTGTCTCTGGTGAATCCTCTCACTGCCCCTGCGCCTCTGGCCTGTACCCCAGTTCTGTATGTGCAGGTAAATAAATCTTTAAAAAAAAAAAAGTTG